CGTCCGTGCATAGCAAATATACCGAGCAATGGAATTTCATCAGTCGAAAATGATAGGTTTTTTGTTTCTTTTCTGTGGAGAGAAAGGGAAAATAAACACGGATATGAAAGAAAAAAACATATTTTGACGCATGACCCTTTGCTGTTCACCATAATTGGTACATCTCTTGGATGAAATGTGTAAGTCGAAAAGTGAAATCAAAACCACCGCGTACTTGAAACGAAAAATGCAATTTATACCTGATGTTTATGCGGTGTGGTGTTGTAGCCGGCCAGCCAGCAGACCTATGCAAAAGTATTCATTGGATTTAAAATCTGATATAAATATTAATCAGTTGTCGAAAGAGAAAACAAAACAAAATGTTGAATAAAAAAAGCAAATGCAATCGTTTTGAATGGTGTCTGTACACACATTCATTTGGTTTTGTATTGCTGAATGCTCTTCATCCGATTACCAGCTGAAACGTGGCGCTTTGCAAACGATAATGGCACCCCGAAAATGAATTCAAAAACTTGCGTACAATGGCGGGCGCATTTAATCTGAAAATCCGAAAAATGTTGCAAACATTTTAGAGAACTTGGAAATTGTGCTCGCATTTAAAAGCTATTTCCCGTCGTCCATCGCTTCATCCCGAAGGTGAATTATGGAATGAGCAAAAGATCGGACGCGAACAATGGAGCACAACAAACGAAGCCGATTTAAAATAAAAATGCAAAAATTAAACACTCGCATTCATGCAAACAAATAAACCGACCAATCCGAATAAAAAAGAAGCGAATAAAATCACAGATAGCAGGTGTAAGTGAATTTGTGACTATGCGCTCTCGGGCTTTTTCTCGTTGGCTGCTGCTGCTGCTGCTGTCGCTGCCGTATCTTTTATTTCATTTCGTTTACGGCATTCGATTCAAAGTTTTGTACTTTTCTGTAATTTAAATGGAGAAAAAAAGAACAAAAAATTAGCAGGATAAACAATTGTCCATCAATTTATCATGCCGTCTTGTTTTACATTGCCGCATCAAATATGCCGTCTTATTTTGCGTTGCCGCATCAAATATGCAGTCTCTGTCTAACATCCACTGCATAAATTGCATAAATATTGAACACGATGGAATATTCCAAAAGCACATCGAAAGAAAATTGTTTAATGGACGAGATCGGATATTACGATTTGCATTAATTAAAAAGTATAAATTCATCCATCCATTGCATAGCTCACCCATCTCTCCACCATCCCTTGCTACTGGTCGGAGATCAAATTTCAGCCAAAATTCACGCAGCACACAGAATTGCAATTGTACAAAAGTGCATCAAAATCGTTCGTTCGTTCGTTCGTTCGTCTTGCTCGGCATGTTTTAGTCGAAAATCTTAAGATAAATGACGTTGTGGAGTCGACAAATGCCACTTTTTACTCGACACACACACATATATACACATCACTCTCACACACACACATACTGTCTCTTGCACAACGACTGAATCCGTTCTACGGAAGAAGCTAGATTTGCGCGAAAATTTAATTTACTTCAGTTTCCATAAATTAGGATGCATTGTAGCCTCGAGCAGATATGAAATCGTACAAAGTGTGTGATTATTATAGAAAACACACATTCTCGCTGGAGCGATGTGGTGTAAAATGTTGTGCCGCATGTATTAGGGTTGATTATCAGTATTGTATTTTGTGTCTGTAGTAAAATATTTCGGAGCTTATGAAATGGCTGATTTCTTCTCTTGGATCTGTTCCTGTTCCGCTTCCGTTTGATGATTTTCACGAGTCAAAATTGGCCGGTTGAAATGGTGAAATTATCGGTCGTCCCTAGCGCATGCAAAAATATATTTGCATACATCAATGTGCAGCTTAATTATTTTAATTTTGTTTTTCATCAGAAAAAAAAAAATGGTTCCGCTAAGAGCGATGTATCGTTGTGCCAACGTTACGAAATCACGCAAATCTCGTGTATATATATATATGAATGTCCGAGAATGAAAACGCAACTTCTATTCACAACACATATAAGTGAAACAAAAATAAAAAAAATTTATTGAAATGAAACAACACAATCGAATTTTTTCAAAGTGTAACAACAAAAAAGATTTTTTTAAAGTGTAACATCGGTGTGTAGTAAGTGTAACAACATACCGATGTTACACTTTAAAAAAATCTTTTTTGTTGTTACACTTTGAAAAAATTCGATTGTGTTGTTTCATTTCAAAAAATTTTTTTATTTTTGTTTCACTTATATGTGTTGTGAATAGAAGTTGCGTTTTCATTCTCGGACATTCATATATACATTGACATTTCCATTGCCATATATTCCATGTCTCGTCGTTTCCGTTGCTCACTCTCTCACTCCGTTGACAGACACTTCGTGTGAATGGGCCTTTTGTTGTCACATTATTGCCATATTATTTTAAAAAATTGATTTAATGCTGAATGTAATTCAATCCGATGCAGCATTTGAATATGACGTGATGCGAGAATAGTGAAAATGGTTCAGTGTTCGACGGCGCAGCTTTTTTTTCCAATTTTTCCAAATTGATGATGATGATGATGATGATGATGACGCTCGACGGCTTATGTGCTTTTCTTGTTCGATGTCAGAACCACGTCAACACCACATTCCATACATATGTATATAAACCCATTCAGTTGACTGTGTGTTTATGTGTTCATTAATATCATTCATACACGATGTTATAAGCATCGCTCATCGTCGTCATCGTCGTCTTTGTTGTTGTTGCTGATGGTGCTTTTGCTCGCCTCGTTCAGCATCGTGAGATTAGATTGCTGGCGTATTGAGAGAGATATGATTTCCGACAATCGACCCCATACGATTACATGCAGTACAGTATATCTTACGATGGCTGGAAGGCAATTTACGTCATGATCTGGAGAATTTTCATCCTTCACATTCGATACAATGTCCATAATTAATGAATATTTATTCATTATTGATAATGAATTGCATTTAATTGAGAGAGCAAGCGAGCAAGCGAGCGAGAGAGGGAGAGAGTGAGAGTGTGGGAAACACGTGGTTGCGTGGTATGATGTGGATAAGCGAGTTTGGTTTGCAATACATATCGATAAGCAGTGTGCTGCTTCTTTCTTCGTCGGTTCTCCTTTTTTGTACGATGCACTTACAACGCTCTCATAATTAGCAATCTATTGATGTTAGATGAACGTGAGCTGCAGATAGAGTGCAAGCACACCCCATACTTTAGACGGTAATTGTGCTCATTTTAAATGGGATCAATTAAAAATGGTTGCGCTTATTTGTTTTATCAATTTAACTCGTTTAATATGAAACAATTGGATAATTGTGCAAAAATGATGTCTGCATCATTTATATTCGCCAAAAAGCCACATCAGATGCCACATACTCGAGGCTTTTATTTAAATAAACCGCTACTTTTTTTTGCGTCACATTTTCAATTCATTTGACATTCAGTCTATGCAATAATGTTTTCAACACATCATCTCGCAGACACACAATTTTATTCGAATGAATTCATTCATTGCAATTGGCTGTGCATTTCTTCGGCACGAACATTTCAACTAAATTGGATGGACTATGATACAAATTATGCTATTATAAAGTCTGTATACACATATGATTCCATTGGGTATATAATATTCATGCTTATGTATTTTCACTCCTTCACTCGGTTCGCTGTTGTTTTGTTTTTTTTCCAACATCATCTCAAATTGGCCGCCATGAAATGTTTCATTTTTCTTCATTAAACACAATGATTTTGTGCCGAATGAAATGGAATCCGAGACTTTAAATGCGTTGGATGTGCTTCATTTTCATGAAAGCTTTGTGTTTGTTTTATGCGAACATGCAACACTCGAAAATACCCATTCGGCGGCGTTGAGAGTTAACAACACTGTTCTGGTGTGCGAAAGAGTGGACGGGAAAAACGATAGAAAAAAATAGAATCGGATCTTATATATATATATATATATATATATATATGTGAATAGCATGAGTGGATATTAGAGATTTCCAACGCGGAGAGAAAAAACGGTCGAAACATAAATATTTTAGGGGAAAAATTCCCTTGCATCAAATTGAACGAACGGAATAATGTTTGATTGAACGAGGGTCGACGGATTTCAATTTTCAAACTCTCGTCGAGTTTTTCTGCAAGCACAAACACAAGCAATAGCGAACGACAGAAGAAAATCAATATGTGTCGAAATTTTTTCGCATCGATTGAGACAAGAGTTAAGTGTATGAAGAGAGCGAAAGCCAGCAAAGAAAGACGATGAAAAGGACAACTACGATGACTATGACGACGATGTCGGCATCTGAATCTGAAACTCAAAAATTTTATGTGGACACTTTTTTGTTGTTGGCATTGGATTTTTGTTTGAAGGGTGTGTGCATAATAACGATGCAAAAAGAATGGGGAAAAGAAGAAAGAAATATGTTAATGGGAGATAGCAGGCAAATCGTCAGGCTCAAAATCTGATTTATGCATGACGCATATCCGACATAGAGCCAAACGAGCCTAGAAGAATCATTCGACATGCATAAATCTCACTTTTGCTGGACGTGAGGCACAAGCGAAATGGTGCCGTATCGGTGGCATGTATTTTTTTGCATACACGCACATTGATTGCCTATCTCAAATGCGTATCGTTTTGTCCAAATGGAATCTATATTTATAGAGGATTTGACAAATCGTTAATAACAATAGCGAATAAGAAAGGGAACACCATACCGAAACAGAAGATGCAGAAGAGAAAAAAAAACAAGCCCCACGGTGGCAATGAATGAGAGTGAAAATGTCGAGACGATGACGTTGCTTCGTTTACTTTTTTACCAGATCATTTTTATTTTAGCTTCGGGGATTGTCTTTCCGATGATAATTTAACCATTGTCGTCTTTTTTCGGTTACTTAAATATATACTATTTTTATATTCTTTTCTTGTCTCTATTTTCTATCCCTTTTTCCCTCGCTCTTGTCGATGGCCATCATTTTCTGAATCGGAGCAGTGATAAATTCAACATATCAATCGAACGACCTGAGTGGCACCGAAGAGGATGTACTCTATCAGAGCGACGCATCGTTCAGTGCAAAATTAGATAATTCATATTCGCACAATAATAAACAAAGCTATAACAAAAGTGTTTCTAATGGCGACAAAAGCCAAAGTAGCTCTAGTGTAAATAATTTAAATAGAAATAGTAAAAGCAGTAGGTACAATAAAAGTAATAATGTAAAAAATGTCAGCAACAAACAGTTGAATGCGAAGCCACTAAATAAAGTGGAAACAAGTAAAGGTGTGACCAAACAGACGACGGGCAGTGGCATCAGCACCGGCGACGGCGGAACAAATCAAAACATATTGCAAATTGATGATGACAAAAAGAATGTAGATTTTTACAATACAATTATTGATTGGAACCAAAACATTGACACAAACCAGCATCCCGACACGGAAAGCACAAGTGATAATGATAATAATGACTATAGTTACAACGGCAACAACGCTGCATCAGGTTGGTTAACATTTCTATTTATGTGCAATCAGCAATAAATGTAATTCATTTGCCAAATATAACATATCTCTCACTCTCCCTCCCTCTCTACCCTGCACATTGAATTCCTTCGACGCATAAATGCATATATATGTAAATTCCATTTGAAATTAACGCAAATTACATGAAATTCTGAATCAACAATTTCCGGTTATTTTACCCACAGATGACACTGACGAAGATGAGGACGATCTAGATTATAATGGTAGCAGTAGCAGCGGCAGCGATAGCATAGTTATCAAAATTGGATCGAAAGATGAAAGTTCGAGAAAATTGGTCGACAATACGGATGCGGGCAAACCATCACCGCCAATGACAGCATCACCATCGGCAGCACTACCATCAACGGTTCGGTCAATTGTTATCGATTCGATGACGTTGGTCGAACCGAATACCGTGGGCACAAGCATCAATGCGTCCGCATCGACCGCAAATTCTAATTATAATTACAATAATGAAAATTACTACTCCAAAGACGATATGTCTGTGTATGATGATGTGAACAACAATCGTCTGAATCTGCGTAGCAGCAGCACCAGCACCAGCACCACTATCAATAATAACAACAACAACAATGGCCGCTCCAATGCTTATGAAGAACGAAACATTTATGTGGCTAATAACGTTTTGAGCGACGGCACTGCCAACGAATCCGTCAAAAGCTATATTCACATTGAAGTCTACAAAGGCAATTTGGATGGAACGGTGACAGCAAAGCCAAAGGAAGTGAAATCAATAAATGCATTTGATGTCAAAGCAACGGCGAAATCAGTGCAACTGCTGAATTTGCATAATGGCACCGATAGAACAGCGGAAATTTCAACCACAAAACCGTAAGTACATTACACGTCTGTCTGTCTGTCTAGTCACATCAGCTATCCTCCATTTAATGAATGATAACCATAATTTTGTTCAATTTTGTTCGAAGCAAACAGACGGAACGAACGAACAAATGAAAAGAAAAGCGAAAAATATGTAGATATGGCGAATTAAGTGAAATTTTTCAAATTCCGTTTTGTTCTGTGATTACAGGGAGCCATGTCTTCTGGATTGCGGTTCCGATGGCGTATGCGACAACGGCGAGAATGCGATGCGATGCCTGTGTCCCTTCGGCAAAAGTGGAACTAAATGCGAGAACGGTAGGCAAATTTGAAATCTCATTTGCATTTCTGATTTCGATGAATTGGACCATATTTGCATTTTTAAATTTTCCGAAACGCGCTCGAGCGCCGATGCAAGAGCGGGTAGGGGCGATGTAAGGCCAACGAACGATGCTGCTCAGCCTCAGCTCATAAAAATGCGTTTGCATGGTAAATTTGCTCTTGACATACCATGCGATCGTCAAGTGTAATTTGAATGCATTGCTCGTATTTTATGTGATGATTCGGGCTCTCTGACACACCGTGCGCTCATCTCTAGTGTAGTGTATGGGTGCGCTGCGCTGTGCTGTGCATAGTGTAAATGATTTGGTATTTAGTCCGTCGTGTTCAGATTTCGTAATGCTGCAGTGAGCCAGAGCGCCACGTGACAGCTCCATTAAAGTCAAACAACAACCTCCTATTACACAATAACATAACATTTTATGCGAATGCAACAGTTATCAAACAGATCATCCTGTTATGAGACTTTTTCTGTGTGTGTAGTTGCTCGAGCAAAATTAGAATTTTCGCAATGACTATCTGTCTGATGTCTACCGGTACACTTTCTCTGTGTATCTGCATGTGCGTGTGTGTACAATGGTGAAAATGCATTCGTGTGTCACGAATATTGCATTCGATCTCGGTGAGCTGGATGCTTTCGTTGAAAGTCAAACGCACTCACATTTTGAATGTAGATGCGGAGAACAGAGAATAGTGAATGGCATAGAGCCTTTGTGCGCTTGAAACCAAGCGACATACAGAATATTTGAATAACTTTCGACGACACAGAACGGGTGAGATATTGCACAAAACAGCATTTGTGCCCGTGTCTCTCTCTTTCTCTCTTTCGGTATATCCACAGTTCTTGGCGCGCGCGAGAAAGAGCGAACGAGCGAATGGTTGCGCGTTTACTCATTCGCCTACACAAGACTACGTGATAAAGGCTCACCGTACATATAAATGATTGCTTTTTGTTGCTTACCACCTACGTTTTGTGTGATTGCGCGATTGTTAATGCGAATGTAATGGCTACGGCAACAACAACGGCGGCAGCCACTGTATGATATGGCACCCCAAATAGGAAACTAAAATCATAAATACGGAAGATATTTGTGCAGTATCCAGAGTAATGGCAAAACGGAAAAACACAAAAGGCAAAACACACATATATATAATAAACCAGCGCTTGAGCGTCACCACATTGAGCGCCCACCAAACACACATTCACTGCACACTGTTGAATGGCGAAATTTTGTGGTAATGCTGCTTCACACAATATCGGCATAGTTATAAGAAAATTAATAATGCCATTCTTTCACTCAGCAAACCACAGAGTCACAGTTCCATGAACAGACACACATCCCCATACAAAAACGCACACATACACATTCACAGAAAAGGAACAACCGCCAGGCTCATTTTGCTTTAGCAAAAACAACAACCACTGAAGCACCAACCGTGTGCCTGTGCATCGTCTGTTTCCACACTTTGTTTTAAGCTACCGTTTTTCTTTCTTCTTCCATTCCATTTCGCGTTTTCGTGTGCCATTCTATTCGAAAGGCATTGTGTGTGTGTGCCCTGTGCACCCCAATCCCCCGAACTTCTTTGTGTTTGCGTGTCATTTTCTGTTTGGATTCTGCACCGTTGTGTTATTCGTTGTGCTGTTTTAAATCTGATACGGAAACAATTGCATTATCATTGCTTATGGGTGCATCAAACAGTTTATGTTTTATCCTTTCGCCATCTTCTATGGCTTTCGGTTTGTTGTGGTGATGAGGATGATGATGTTGATTTTGATGGTGCAGTGGTTGTACGCTACACTCAATCTTCGCCATAAGGATAACATAATTTAGAATAAATCAATGGAAAACACTTAAAAGAAATAATTAGAAGAGTAAGAGCAGTTGTGTGTTTTACTTTTTTTTCTCCATCCCATTTATCGTTATCTACTACCACTGTTACGTTTTCCGTGCGCGAATAGCGAAGACGTAAAACAAAAACAGTTGATTTCTGTTGGCAGCATTCCATTGTTTTCCACAGCGCTTTTATCATCGAAACGCGAACAACGAACAAAAGGGTCGCATTTTTCATAAAAATCTTCTCTCTTTTCTCTCGTCCACCTTTTTTCCCCCGTGCATGCATTTAACGAGCAACACATTTTGCAAAAGCTTGATAACTACAGGAAGAAAGCTTAAAGTCCTTCCACCGAAATCGTTTGCGGTTAATTTTAGTTGTGTGTTTTCATGTTTTGCCTAACTATTCTTCCGCTTTTTTAGTCGGTCGGGAAATCCTCTAAGCTTTTGACAAAATGAACACGCAAAACACTCACGCGCACTCACACACAAACGAACACCGCTAATACGAATCCAAATATTTTTGTGCCCAGTTGTTTTTGCCGCTACACATTCCACACGCCACACCAAATCAGCCAACGAAAAACAACCGACTCGAATTTCGGTCGGAGCGAAGTTTGTGAACGAAAAAAAACACTGGCGCGCGGGCCCAGTACACACGCATACAGCCGAGTGACATATTATTTATACATATTGCTGAAATTGAATTGGACGCATTGGCTTCGGCTTTGGCTTTGGCTACCGACACGCACAAACATTTGAGTTCATCGAATTTCGGCTCAACTAATTTCAACATAATTTCAAACATTCCATTCTCAATGAGTTCCGAATTGAAAAATCGTTGCCGTCGGACATTTCGTTAAATTGTTTTCTTTCTCCGTCTCTCTCTCTCTCTCTCTCTCTCTCTCTCTCTCCTTCTCGTTCCATTTTTCCTTTTGCGCTCCTGAAATAGGCTTCCGTTTCCACAACTTATGTTTAGCTATTAATAATAAACCATTATTAAGCGACTTATTACTTTTTGCCCGTCCGAAACCAAAGCGTGTTTCCAGTGTCAAAAATGAATGGGTGAAAATGGGCGTCAAATGGGGAATTTTCTACTCATTTGTCCATACCGATGGGCTATTTGGTTGCATGATGAACAGCAAATAAAAAAAAAACACCAACGGAATTAAATTGTAAAGCTGGAAAAAAAAACCTTTTGTACGTCAGTTGTTTTTTTTTTCATTCGAATGGTTATGCAGTGTCAGCAATGAGATTGCTCCAATTACGGAAATTGTTTATTGAAATTGTAGCCGATGTGTATCAACCGAATCAGCATAATAACACGTTTGTAATTAACTCTTTCTTTTTTCATACGTGAATGTATATAAAATTTTTTAACGCTCTATTGTCGGTGTTTTCCTTTGCACCAGCGTTTTTTTTTATTCTCATGAAGTTTCTCACTCCGATTTTTTTTCCTCTCTCGAGCAAACAGCCCAGTATGTCTTCAACTATGTGTGTGTGTGTATTTGGTTTCTTCTTTCTTTCTCTTTTGCACGTCATTGGCAGCAATCTTTGTGCCCCATCGCATATTTAAAATTTTCCAATTCATTAAATACTGATGGACAGCATAAAAGAAAAGGTATGCTGTTCTCCGTGTGCATGGTCTGTTTATTGATTGTGCAATGCTGTGATGTTCGTTCACGAAAACAACAGAAGATAGATCGCTTCAGTTGGAACACATAAGCTATTTTCAATAGACAGCAATACAATATAGACTGTTACTATGTGGTATATTACATACACATTCATATATGTATACAACTACATTCAGCCGGCCATCTAATTTGCTGTAACAGTTGAGGCGGTTGTCTCTTGTCCATTGTATCCAATATATTCCTTTTTGTATTCGGCCTATTGTTAATCGTGCGATTTGAATATACTGCGGTTTCGTTTTGTTTTGCCGGAGAGTGATTTCCAATTTGGATTGACATGCATTTCCCAGCCAACGGTAACAGCTGTGGAAATGGGACGCACAACAGAATAGAGCGGCAGAGAGAAGGGATGAGAGAGGACAGGAGAGGAAAAAAAAATTGCTGCTAATGGTAAAATTAACTCAAACAATAATCCAAACTTTGTTTGCCTATTGAAGCGATTTAGCAGATTTTTTGTTGTTGTTCGTTCTTTCGTCCCCTCTGATAAAAACGTGCCAGGCACAACGCATTGCACCATTGAAACAGGAATCAGTTGGTGTTTTTTGTGCATTTGGTTCGAAACAAAGAATTCAATCTAAAATTAAGCCCGTTTGATGATATTTTTTTATCCTCTCGTATTCCGTGTCTCATTTGAAAGGGAGAAAGAATGGAACAATAAAAACAGTCAATCGATGGCGTTGAAAGTTTTATTCCATTATGACAGCTTTATTCCCAGAGGACCGCATCTTTTATATATGGCAATTTTCATAACGTTTCAATATGCCGATTTTTAAAATCGAAAAAAAAAACAATATTTTCCCTCCCTATTCAATATTTACACTTTGAAATGTGACCGGCGGAACGAAAAGCACAGAGACATTTATCAATATATTTAATCATATGCAACCATTAGTTTTCTAAATGAAAAATACATTTCCTGCCCATTTTTGGATCGTTTATATTGATTTATCTATTTTTCTTTGGACTCGGAGTTTCCAAAATTCTTATGAACATTTTCGGTTCACACGTATATACATATACATTATCCAAAATCGGATGACAATCCATTTTGATCTAGTAGAGAGAGAACCATGAGATCGGTCATTGTTTATTTTGCATCTGGTGCCGAGGTAAATGACCGTATTAAAAAACATGTATAAAATTGTTGGGGAAAAAAACCACGGCCCCTCTACAACAACGGCAAAAAAAATAACGGTCACCGAGCTGATTTTTATGTGGAGTGAAAGAGAGAACGAAAGAGCGAGCGAGCGAGCGCAAATGAAATTAAAAAACAGTGTTCATCTGCATTTATTAAACCAACCGAAAACATGGTTGCATGTTATTCGAAGCGAGAAAAACGAAAGGTGAAAATTAAACGAGAAAAAAATAAACAGCACAAAAATGAATTTAGTGCTTATAAAATTTGATTCGCGATAAACCGCATTTCGTATTTTCAGCAGAGATAGAGCGAAAAAAAAGAGAAGCAAGGGAGTAGCGCTAGTATTTCAACCCGAAAAAAAGTGTCCATATTGAATTACATCGTCCCGATTTTCGACAATTTGAAGCTTTCGTTAGAACGTCGAGGGCTTTCCCTTTTATCGCTTTCCGAGTATTTTAGCTTCGAAACGCGCGCTCCCTCCCCCCATTCTCTCTCTCACCCTCTCTCGCTGGCTGAAATTCTCCTTCCAATGCATAACTCCAAACCAAAAACTGTGCTTAATTTTTTTAGTTTTTAATAATCTAGACGGAGAGTTTGATAGCTCGAATGGTGTATGCGATTTTCCGAACACATCCATTTTATATGTGCTATAGCATTATTCAATTCGATTTATGCACTGAGAAACTTTTTAAATGGCATTCAAGGCAGTCAATTCATATGGGTGTGCAATGTGCATTGGCTCTTGGCTGTGATAAGTGAAAAGCTACAGCAAAGATCATTGTTGGCAAGGAAGAAAAAATAATAATGAATAAATAAATGTAACGTTTGCATCTAAAAATGGTTGGGCGAATTTGGTTCAATATTCACATCCAATGTGTATTAAAAGTAGCTCAAATATTTATCATTTTCTTTTGTTCCCATTGCATCTCTTCCCGCTCCATTTTTACACCATCCCATGATGAACACGGGTATGCGCGTGTGGCGCTTGCAGTTGCTGATAGTTTGTCGATTCCGCAGTTTACAAAGCATTCATGGATTGCATTTTCGGCGTTGCGAGGTGCTTACAAGCATGTTCAGGTAAGTCAAGCCAATGTTCAACATGAATACCATCTATCTATATATAAACTTCATAATATTTGCGAATTGCAATGCACTTAAAAACTCTTTCTATTTGAAAACTTGGCTGGAAAGTGCATTCCATGCAATTATTTTCGTTTTCAAAAGATTAATGGAAGCTATTCTTTGCATCTCTTTTTTTTCCCTTCTGCACAGTTGTACATTGAGTTCAAGCCCGAGTCGAGCAATGGAATTATTCTGTTGACCGGGGAACGAGATGATTTGTCCGGTGACTTTTTGGCCGTACTCATTGACCAAGGCCACATCGAATTTTGGTGAGTATAATCTTGATTCGCTCCAATTGAACGTATACCATTCAACATTCAAGCTGATAAATACAATGCTTGTTTCATTATAATTGATTGATTGCGAATCGCTGCAACATTGAATGGGATTCGTCGAATGAGCTCTTGAAGCGCAACATTGAAATACTACTCTTGGATCACGAATCCAATTCAAAATAACAAAAATAGAACCTTAAACAAAAACGAATGAAAATCCAAATCTATAAAAGCTAATAACGAACATTATTATATCTGAAATCAAATAAATTGGGAGCAAATGCACCACCGGAAGAAAAACGTCCGAGAAAAAAAATGCGCATGTTATTAACGCAAATGCAACATTTTATTTGCTTTTTATTGTTATGTGGGGTTGATTTCGTTCGATTATATTCCATCGTGCTGCGGACAGTTCAAAAAGGTTGTGCATTTCATCATTTTGTTATGAATGCGGTGTCGATTCGGTAATATTATTATGAGTTGAAATTGCTATCAATTTTTCATCAAATAAATTCCAATCGACCCAGCAATATGCCACACAGCAAATTCAAATAAAATATTTGTTTTTACGGTTGATAAAGTGCGATGTTCGTGTTAGTGTGTGTGTGTGTGTGTACGGTGTTCGCGCGTGTATACTAGTATGTACAGACAGCAACGGTGGCGGTATGCGTGCGTGACATGTATGTATTCGCATTCATCAGTTTCACCGTTACATGAGGCGAAAATTGTGAGGCTAGAAAAAAAAGCGCCATAAAATCTGTGTGCATGAGCTTAAATAAACACATTACAAATTCGCGGCAATGCACATAAACATAGGCAAACACATACGCACGCACCATCACTAATATATTTGAACAAATCAACCAAAAACATTCGGCTTCGTTGCATATCGCGAGTATCGAGGCGCGCGCGATCCAAACGGAAAAGGATCGGCATTCAACAAATTGGAACGATATTTTATTTAGCTATTTTGTTTGCTTACGTTTGCGTGTTGTTTTGTGTGCTGTGACGATGAAGCGCATGGATGTGTGTGTGTGTGTGTGTTTGTATGTATATTTTCTGTGTCTATTTGAGTAATTTGCAAACATTTTTCGTGGTACGAATTCAATTTGGTTCATACATCACTCTATTTCAAAGTATATATAAAATAGACTAAAGAACACCGATCCCCGATAAATGCCAACATGCATACATCGTTGTGCATTGGCACGTTTTGTCGGTGAGAGAATCATCCCGGACCAACAGCAGCAGCAGAGACGACCACAACGGCACTGAGAAAAAAACGGAAAATTCAAATTACATAAAATAATGTGAAAGTAAAATAAAACATCTCTTTCATGTACTTCGCTATCAAATGAACAAAATGTTCACCACAAACACGCTGAACGGCACGACAAAAGCTAATAAGTGAATGCCACAATACAGCGCTTTCACATCGGCATTATTCGCATTGTTGTGCTCATTTTATCCGGTTTCGTCAATGGTTTACTCCTGATGCTGCTGCTGCTGCTGTTTTCGTCGTCGTCATTGGTGCCGTCATCACCATCACTGCTGTTGCTCTTGTTGCTGTTGACTAACTCGCTTGCATCCAGATTTCGCACATGGGAAACTCTTTCAAAAGGCAAATAAATAAATAAGCTAGCACAAAAATTTAACGCTTCATTCTTATGCAAATGCTAGCGCATTATATTGTTGCGCCCAAATATGACAGTCAACGGTCCAACACACGATTCATATCTAACTTGCATTTGTCAGCTTTACAAAATGCGTCTATTTATTTAGTTTGATTTTGGGAAAATAGCGAAAACAGCATTTGCTTCGTGCCAAAATATGAATCTTTATTTGTTCATTTGCTGAATTTGTGTGTCACGTGCGCGCTCGCTCACACTATCGCACGTTCGTATTCGTATTCGCTAATGCTTGAGAACTGGAGTGTCTGAAAATTATTTATTGGATTGCAATAAATATTTATTTACAAGGTTTTTGGGGTGTAAGTTGCTAATTAATGATTAATGAAGCATGTACTATGGCTGCGAGCGCTTCGAATATATACGCAATGGCATGAAGAGATATAGTGTGAGGCAGAGCAAGTGAAATGCGTTGTGCAGAGCCATAAAATGTGTTCACTTTGACTCGAAATTGCACAACGGCTTCGGCCACATCCACACAGTCGCATGCACACTCAGAGATACCGTTTCATGTATCGAGAAAATGAACCGTTGACTCAAAAGGGTTGCGCGCGTTTAATCAACCAGATACCGATTTAATTTTAATACACGGCGATGCACAGAATCACAATCTTTAGCAATTCAATTGATCTCCTTGCCAAAAGCTCCAAAATATTTGCAGTATGCCGCAGTTTAACGCTATCACTGCGGCACGGTCTATTCGTACGGTAAAATTTACGTTTAGCCTCACAGGCTATTCGTACGGTGAATTTCAGAATTTCGTACGAATAGATATAGAGACTAAACGTACGGATCGTACGAATAATTTTTCTCCGTATGTTTAGTCTCCATGTCTATTCATACGAAATTCTGAAATCCATCCATATAAACGAAAAAAATGATTCTGTTTCGAAGAATGGTAGCAATAACCGACCGATCAACTGTTTTGAACCCAAAATTGCCGAATAAGCAATTATTATTGTTCACGCAGACAGACCGAGTTGATTTTTGCACTTGAAGACAGTACAATCAATCAGTTTGATTTCAATCATGATTTGCAGCCCAAACACAATTCACCATAAATGAGTAATCAAATTGGTTTGTTGTTGTTGTTTTTTTGTTTATTGCTACCATTCTTCGAAACAGAATCATTTTTTTCGTTTATATGGATGGATTTCAGAATTTCGTATGAATAGACATGGAGACTAAACATACGGAGAAAAATTATTCGTACGATCCGTACGTTTAGTCTCTATATCTATTCGTACGAAATTCTGAAATTCACCGTACGAATAGCCTGTGAGGCTAAACGTAAATTTTGTACGATTTTTATCGTACGAATAGACCGTGCCCTATCACTGCTGTACTCTAATCGGCTAACAACTTATACATACTTACACGAACGAACGAAATTCAAACGAATCGCTGTTTGAGCAGCAGATTGCATGCAGATGCTATAATATAATCTTATATAGAAAAAATATCTCAAACGAAGCAAATTATGAAGAAAGAGCAATATCAATTTGCTATGGATTCGAACAATTAAGTAGTGGGATTTTACTTTCAGTAATTAAAACTTGCTCAGCATAAGCGTAAACAGTATAGTTAAAGTAATTAAATTTCTTGAGCAAGTTTTCTATGGGCCCCCCCCCCCTCTCTCTCTCTCTCTCTGTGTGTGTGTGTGTGTGTGCATGTTCAGAAAGCGAGAAAAAAACGCGAGAGTTGTGAACGGATGGAATAAAGCAGTGAAAAAAAAAGTGAAACGAAATTAAGGGGAACGATTGTCATAAAATGCAATCGGTGTGTGCGTTGTTATTAGCCATATGCTAATAGATTTGGTTGAAACATTAATGTAAAAACAATTACGATCCATTAAAAATCATAGTACTGTGTCCAAAAAGTAAGGTGACATTGCATTTAAAATTTAGCGCGCTGGGGAATTTGAAAAAATCCTTTTATTTTTAGGTTGGTAGGACTGTCTTTGACATCCCTGCCAAATTACACGTCAAAATATTCATTAGTGTTTGAGATACGCTTCGTTTTGTGGACTGCTAAAAGTGAATTTCTCGTTTTTTGCGATGTCGAAATGTGTTGATCAAAGAATTTGCATTAAATTTTGTTTGCGGAATCAATTTTCTGCTGCGGATCCGTTGAGGATGGTGCAGAAAGCCTTTGGTGATGAGGCTATGTCGAAAAAAAATGTTTACAAGTGGTATAGTGAGTTCCAAGCAGGCCGTGAATGTGTCGAAGACGAAGAGCGTGCTGGGCGACCATCAACCTCAACCGACGAAGCTCACGTCCAAAAAATTAAAGATTTGGTGTTGGAAAACCGTCGATTAACGATTAGAGACCTTGCTGATGATATTGGCATATCGAAAGGCTCAGTCAATACCATTTTGAAGGATGTTTTGGGCCTCAAACGCGTCAAATCTCGACTGGTACCGAAATCATTGAATTTTTTGGAAAAAAGGTGTCGAGTTGACGTGTGTGAAACAATGCTTTCTGACTACATTGACAAGACGAAATGCATGATCACTGGAGACGAGACTTGGATCTATGCTTACGACCCGGAAACAACCGACCAATCGAGCGAATATCGTGCCAAAGGTGAGCCGAGACCAAAAAAACCGCGCCAAAGTCGCTCAAAAATCAAGGTCATGTTGACTGTTTTCTTCGATTATCGGGGTGTTGTGCATTATGAGTTCCTTCCCCCGGGTCAAACAGTCAACAAGGAATATTATTTGAGTGTTATGCGTCGTTTGCGTAACGCTATCCGCCAAAAGAGGCCGGAATTGTGGAAAGACAACTCTTGGTTTTTGCACCATGATAATGCATCGTCTCACAATGCGATCATTCTTCGTGAACATTTCGCCAAAAACTCGACTCATATCGTTCCACAACCACCGTATTCACCTGATTTGGCACCGTGCGACTTCTGGCTGTTCAACAAGCTCAAAAGACCGCTCCGGGGACACCGTTTTGAGACGATAGAGCAGATTGAAGCCGCAGCGAAGACGGAGCTGAGGGCCATCCCTGAAGTCGACTTTTTCAACTGTTTCGAAGATTGGAAAATCCGTTGGCATAAGTGCATTGTATCGGGAGGGGATTACTTTGAAGGCGATGAAATTGATTTGGAAGAATAAATAAAGAATTTTCAAAATAAATGCAATGTCACCTTACTTTTTGGACACAGTAGTAATAATCGTATTAATGCATCCGAATGAACAATAATTATCCGTGGCACACGAAGCCCGAGCACACTTTTTCTCATCATTTTTCAAAGCTAGTATATATATATATATATATATATATATATACAGTCATGGA